TATATATATATATATATATATATATATATATACAAAATAAATTAATTAATTATATATATACACACACATATATATATTGCAAATTTTCAATTTAACTTGATGCACTAGAATAACTATGAAATAAAAATTTATAAAAACTACACAGGAATATAAAAACGAATACAAATGACAAAAAAATTACTAAAACGTTAACTAAAATTTAAAATAAAATAGAAAATATAAAGAAAAAAACTAATTCAAAATGTTAATAAAACTACAATAATACTGCCTAACTACCCTGTTTGAATTGCAAATTTTCAATTTAACTTGATGCACTAGAATAACTATGAAATAAAAATTTATAAAAACTACACAGGAATATAAAAACGAATACAAATGACAAAAAAATTACTAAAACGTTAACTAAAATTTAAAATAAAATAGAAAATATAAAGAAAAAAACTAATTCAAAATGTTAATAAAACTACAATAATACTGCCTAACTACCCTGTTTGACCAGAAATGTTGATCTTGGAACACGGCACGCTGTACCTCACTATCTTAAGGCACAGGAATGATATCATAAGCAACGAAATTCTCTAAACATTACCCGGGAACACAGTTGACACAGTAATCTCCCCACCGGCACTGCCTCAATAGATTAACTTTCTCTGAGCACAGCAAACAATCGCAGTCATTCATGAGTAATTCAAACACACTTCATCAAACAAAAACAACAGCCTCCAGCACTTCACACTGCAAGAAAGATGAACTGAGGTCAAACCCGTATCGTGTTAAGAAGCATGTTCAAGCACTTGACTGTAATCTGTGATCTAAGGATCACAACTGGAAGTGTGTTTATTTCAAAGTTTGGTCACTGCGGGAAACAGTCATACAGCAATCATACGCAGAGAACTAAAGTGCACAATAAAGCATCAAGACACTCGAGGCTGAATTACAGTCATTTTACCACATGAACAGTGCCAAAACAGTAGTGAAGTGTCATGTGGCCAAGTATGGTGACCCATACTTGGAATTAGTGCTCTGCATATATCCCATCCAAAGTGCACACACACAGCAGTGAACACACACACACTGTGAACACACACCCGGAGCAGTGGGCAGCCAGTTTTTGCTGCGGCGCCCGGGGAGCAGTTGGGGGTTCGGTGCCTTGCTCAAGGGCACCTCAGTCGTGGTATTGAAGGTGGGAGAGAGCGCTGTACATTCACTCCCCCCCACCTACAATCCCTGCAGGTACGAGACTCCAACCCGCAACATTTGGGTTACGAGTCTGACTCTCTGTTAGAAAACACTCTCTGTCTTTCTGTTGATTCCAGATGTGTCTCACTCCTCCTTTTTCTCCCTCTCTCTCATTCTTATATATACAACGCATTCTCTCTGAATTCCTCCTTCTGTATCCATCTCTCTCTCTTGATATTATGTTTTAAATATGTCTTACTTATATGCGAAGTATGCATGCTTAAATGTATACATCGCATTAACTTAATTAATTAGTTATGAAAAAAATAATGCGATTAAAATATTTTAACGCAGTTAACGCACTGGCCCCGCCCCCAGACCTGTACGTCATCTTACATTTCATACAGTTGACTGCTGACAAATAATGCAGGGCAACATCTCCATAAATGCAGCTATGCCCTAAAATTCAAGATATTGGTGCAAAAAATGCCCCTGTATGAGTTTTTGTCTAATATTTATACCATGGGATAAGTGATATCACACGAGTAGGGAGAGCAATTTTACACAAGTGCTGATTTTGTCCAGAATATAACGAGTGCAAATGTGATTTTATACAACAGTTCAGTAAAAAATAAGTTGATATTGTGTTATATTTTAAACACAATATTATGTTTTTGCTCAATTTTGCAGAGAACATATTACCTTTAAAGCCATAGCAGAACTGTTGTGCGTCTCCGAGCAACACAGCAGTGATTCTGAATGAATCCGCGTTTTGAACGAATTGTGTGAACCAATGATTCAATAGCCTATTCATAAAGAGAGCCATTTACTCAATTCCTGAATGAATCAGCCGTTTGAACGAATCGAACGAATTAATGACTCATAAAGACATCTGCTGGCAGATTTAGTTTCTTATGTGGAGTATCATTTAATAAAAAACAACAATAATAATAAAAAAAAAAAAACATTAAAAGGATAGTTCACCTAAAAAATGTAAATTCTGTCATCATTTACTCACCCTCAAGTTGTTTCTAACCTTTCTTTGTGGAACATAAAAGACGGTATTTTGAAGACTGTTTGTCACAAAGCGGTTTTGCTTTGCAGTGACTTTCATCAAATTATCTTCTTTTATGTTCCTTAGTTTATGTTTGGCCGTTGTAGCCTAAACGTTTGTGTGTAATACATTTTATGTTGAATCAAATAAAAATGTCTTTCTACAGATACACTTTGCAATGTCTACTTGATACTTTCTCATTTAACACAATAATGGCTTTAATTTATCAGGGTAATGCCACAGTCAAAATTGACACATTATGTAATTAATTACATTCAAAATTTTAATTGAATGACAGCCCTACTATTAACATATTTGCTGACATATCGCTCGAGAATTACTGATTTAAAAATAAAAATTAAACTTTATAAAGAGTACTACTTGAGCACAATGCACATTTCTTAATATTAAGACTAAAATGTGTTTTAATATCACTATTAATATCAGAATCAGAATCAGAATGATTTTTTATTGCCAGGTATGTTTACACATACGAGGAATTTGTTTTCATGACAGAAGCTCCACAGTGTAACAGAATGACAGTGACAGAACAAAAACACAGATAATAAAAAATAGAAAAATAGAACGTAAATAAGGAATAAAAATATACAAATCGACAATTGTATGTACAGGTATATAACAATAGACAGTTGTATGTACAGGTATATTATGTGCAAATTGAAATGTAGACTGAGTGTGTGTGTTAGATAAATAAGTGTATGAGTGAATAAATAGTGTGTGTTCCACAGTTATTGTCAAGTGTTCATGAGATGGATGGCCTGAGGGAAGAAACTGAAAATAATAATATTGTATGATCACTATATAATATCAGTCTTTAAATGCAAGATATTTAAAGTGTACCTGAAGTATACTTGCAATAGTTGCATTTTAGCACAATCAAATATACTACAGTATATCTTTAGTTGGACTTCAGCAATACTTCCGCACAATTAAAGTGCACAAAATTAGTTGTTCCAGTTTAGCAGACTTCAAGTATACCAGTTTAGTATACCAAAAGTACAATTGCAGGGTATGTTTTATTAAGCACAAAACTATGTATATGTATTTGTAGTATACTTGGCACAAAACAAATGCGTTTGAAATACAGGGTATTATTTTTACTCTATATCGTTTTACAGTGTAGTTAATTATATTAACATTAGGGCTATGTTTGCCAAGCAATGTAGAAACTTGACATTTCATATGAAATGTGCAGTCATATGTGCAGGTTTCTCTTGAATAGTTGATTGTATTTCACTGTTTCAGACCACCAGAGATGGTCAATACATGGTGGAAGGAGTAGTGTCTCGTGCATCACATCGAGAATCTCGTATTAATTCAGTCTTTGTCAATGTGACTTTGACCGATGACCTGCCGGAAGCTATATCAGCTCCTGACTACGTCACGGTCTGTCTCTTTGTCATTGTCGCGGAGAGATCTCGTTGAGTGTGCACAGCTTTTGGGTTGGTGTTCGCTCCCCGCTACAGCTGTGTCTCAAGAGAGCAAAGACGGAGCACTTGCGTTGCATTATTGGATTCGTCATTGGATATTGTATTATATTGGATCCATTGGTTATCCAGGGTCAGAGGCGGACAGTAACTAAGTAAATTTACTTGAGTATCTGTACTTTACTTGAGTATTATTTTTTCTGGGAACTTATGACTTTAACTTCACTACATTTGAAAGACAAATATTGTACTTTTCACTCCACTACATTTCTATCAATGTCCTCGAAGTAGAAAGTCGTTACTATGTAGCAGCTTTGAAAGTCAGTAGGTGATTTTTTTCTTCTCTAAAACGTGACTTTCTTTTTTTCAGACAGTTTATCAGTAATCACTCTTGTAGGGCTACATGAAGAGATTTCCCAGCATTTTTTGAACACTGACCAGTGGGAAATAATAAGAAGTTAATATTGTGGTATATATTAGACTGATTTTGCTAAATTGTGTAGGTGAAAATATTACCTATAAAGCCACAGAAGAACTGTTGTGCGTCTCCTAATAAAACACAAAAGGTGTTGGACTTGAAGCAGCACTGCAGAGACCATTCTGTGTGTGACATCAAAGTACTGCGAGAGCGATTAGACAGCATTTAAAATGTTTGTTTTGATGTCAAATAAGTCTTGCTGTTTTGCTTTTTTGTTAAAGCAGTGTTGCTGTTGTAAAGTTATACATCTACAGTTGTGTTGCTGGGTTTTAAAGCAGGTTCGATTTTTTTTTTCTTCCTTATCAGTCTGTATTTACAGGATTTCACTGTCCACTCTGTTCAAATATGGATGAATGGCTACACATAGATGTGTGCACACACTGTCAGAACTGTGTGAGATCACTACCATCCAGCTTTTGTGGGGGTGGGTAGCGGTGTTAAAATCATTTTTTTTGTTTTGTTGTTTTCCCCATAGGTTTTTAACATTCTAAAAGCTTTATTCCAAATATACTACAAGCTAGTCAGTGTATTCAGCAGGTGTAATGTATTCTAAGTTGCTTCAGAAGTATTGCAAGTACTACTACGTACAACAATAAAACAGTGCATTGACATAAAAAAGGACAAATACTTTTGGTACTTAAGTATTTTAAAAAGCAAGTACTTCTGTACTTTTACTTAAGTAAAAATCTGTCTTTACAACTTTTACTTGTAATGGAGTAATGGTTTGACCAGCAGTATCTGTACTTTCACTCAAGTAATGGAGTTGAGTACTTTGTCCGCCTCTGTCCAGGGTCCTTAAAAGTGGTGTTGCAGTCGCTGTGGTAAGTACTGTTAGAACTTATTGGTTTACAAGGGTTCTGTGTTCACCGTGTGTGCATACCTGTGCATTCAGACTACTGTTGCGCTCACTGGTAAACCAGGGCGTCGGTTATTGCGTGCGGTTATTATTGCAGTACTGTATTATCGCTGTTATTAACCCATTGGTTGACCAGGGTTATTTTTCCTAAAGGCATAGGCACTATGGCTGCCTCATGTTCTACATGTTCAGGTCCTATGGACCTTATGGATGCACATATTCACTGCCCTGCCTGTCTGGGCATCGACCATCTTAAGGAGGCTTTAACTGAACCTTGCCCAGAATGTAGTCAAATGCCATTGGAAATTAGGCAACAGAGACTGACAAAGTTTGAACCGTGAAGTGAAGATTTCTTAATACCAGTCAAGACTAGGACTCAGACAGGTAGCAAGCGCTCAGCTATCAAAACTGAGGGGCCTCCAAAAAAGAAATGAACTCTGACTGCAGCACTATCTCACCAGGTAGTTGAATTAGCTAATGCTGTGCAGGTCATTCAGGCTTTGTTGGCTAGGTCATTTCCGTATGCGACTCAGAGCGTAAATTAGGATGTGAGAGCATGTTAATAACGCACAGTCTTGAGTGGCTTATTATTTTTATAAAACAGTTTTAACAGTTCTATACAGGTCCACTGAAGACAGGAAGACAGGGTGGCATATATCGAGCTCTGCCCCTTTTTAAATAATAGCATTTTGTTTAAATCACAGCTCACCACTGCGGCAGTTCGCGAGACAATGCGAAACCAGACTTTTCACTGGTTACGGATGAGCAGGACTGATACATACCCTTGGAGGAGACTTCTTGTGCACTCTCTCAGTCTCAACACTCTCATAGCGATGAGGGCTCAAGTCTGCAGGGTGCTGGTTCTTCGGTGGCATTTTCATTGCAGGACACAATCAAGATGGCCCTTGCTAAATTAAATCTGGACCCACCCCCTCCGGCGTTGGGACCTTCAAACCTCTTGCGTCGGTCGGTTGCTTGGCCAGACGATTTCCTGATACCTAGCTGCCCAGACTTTACTGAGGTTGTTTTTTCAGCTTTTCGCTCTGCTCCTTCTTCCAGACCGGATCGAGCGGCGCGCACATTGGCTGCGATGGCTGATGCCCAGGATAAAGGTCTTGGTAAAATGCTCTCGGTAGAGCCGTGTATTTCTTCATTGATTGTGTCCCCGGATGAGGCCCTTAAGCAGGAGCTATGCTGCCCTAACCTGGAGGGCAGGCGTACTGATGATTTGCTGGTTCGTGTTTATAACACTGTATCAGAATTGACTCGTATTGGGAATTCTATGGCGCATTTGCTGTTGGCACTTCATTCGACCATGTCATCAACAACACAGGATAATACTCCATCAGAACTGCTTGAGGCTTCTCTCCAGGCTTTGGGATCCATGGCTTTCTCTAGTGGGAAAGCTCTTGGACTTATCACACAAGCAAGACGGCAGGTGTGGCTGGCTCAGTCCAGGCTCCCTGAGGTATGTCGCAACAACCTCCGCCAATTGCCATTAGTGTCTGGTCAAATCTTCGGTCCAGCTGCTCAGGAGGCCCTTGAGCGCAGGGTAAGGGCAGCTGAGTCTCGTTCCCAGCATATTGGGCATAGCGTGAGCTACCCTGCAGTAGCTGCACAATGGCTACCTGCTCGTCATTCAACTTTGCAGCAGCATAGACAGTTCTCGTTTCAGGCCATCAACTCGCCCTGCACCTCCTCACCAGCGTGTCCCCAAAGATAATGGAAATGTTCCCCGGCGTCGCTAGGAGTTCAGAGTCTGGGACAGGACAGTTTTCGGCCTTACAGTTACATCCTTGCAGGGCAATTACAGACAACCAGTAGACCCCCATGTCCAACCCGGGGGGTTCCAATCAAAATATTTTCTTGTTCGGAAGAAGGATGGAAGTTTCAGGCCCATCCTGGATTTCAGGCGCTTAAACAAGAGCCTCAAGTGGATTGTAGATGTTCGACATGCAATCGAACCCGGAATGTGGTTCACTTCAGTGGACCTGAAGGATGCGTATTTTCACATCCTTATCGCTCCACATCACAGAAGGTTCCTTCGGTTCACTTTTCAAGGCAAAACTTATCAGTTCAGGTGTCTTTCCATTCGGCTTGTCTCTTTCTCCCAGGGTGTTCACACGCGTCATTCAGGTGGCGCTGGAGCCACTGCAACGAGAAGGCATCCTGATTCTTCCATACCTGGACGATTGGCTGTTGTGAGCCAGATCATACCAACAGGCTGTCAACAACACACAGCGTCTGTTGTTTCATGTAGCCACCTTGGGTCTAAAGGTGAACTTTCAGAAGAGCTGCCTAACCCCAAGCCAGTCAGTGTGTTTTCTGGGAATGCAGTTGGATTCCAGGGCAATGAGAGCTATTACAAGCTGCCCTTCATCAGCTTCCTACGACTGGCAGGCCTTCTCACAGCAGCATCATCAGTCATCCAACTGGTCTTTTTACATCTTCGCCTATTTCAATGTTGGGTAATAGCCAGACATTTGTCACCAGTTCGCAATCGACCCACACTGGTTCGGGTCACAACCTATTGTGCTGCCTCCCTGAGAATTTGGAGAAGGGACAAGTTTCATCAGAGGGGAGTTCCAATTGGGCCGCCCCCAGCACGCAAGGAGGTGATAATCACGATGCCTCCCTCAGTGGGTGGGGAGGACTGTGGCAACACCGAGGTGTACGGGGCAGATGGTACCCACAGTTAAGGGCCTCTCACATCAATCTTCTGGAACTGGGCAGTGTTTCTAACTTTGAGACATTTCAGGCAAGAACTGTCGGAGAGACACATTCTGGTAAGGACGGACAATAACACAGGGGTATTTTTAATCAACCACCAGGGGGGCACAAGGTCCTTACCCTGTCTCCAGTTAACTAGAAGGCTCCTGTGTTGGACATACAAGCACTTCCCTTCAGTCAGAGCAACTCACATTCCCGGTTGCTGCAACAGTGTGGCGGACTCACTTTCCCATTCGGGACCAAGACCAGGGGAATGGTGCCTACACAAGGAGGTTGTTCAGTCAATTTGGAAGAATTACAGGACAGCAGTCGTAGACCTTTTTGCCAGAAAATCGACAACACATTGTCCGCTATGGATTTCAGCGCAGGAAGAAGAGGGCTCATTGGGACAGGATGCTCTGACCCACTAATGGCCAGATCTGCTCCTCTATGCCTTTCCTCCAATTCCTCTTCTTTGGTCTGTCCTGAGGCGGGCGCAGGAGAGGCATCACAGACTCCTTCTAGTGGCTCCTTGTTGGCCAGCAATGCCTTGCTTCAGCCTTCATTGACTCTGACAACTGGCCCGCCTCAGCCGCTGCCAGTTCAGAAGGATCTGCTTTCACAAATGGACGGAGCGTTGTGGCATCCTTTCCCGGACAGGCTGAAATTGTACATCTGGCCCCTGGGGTTGAGAGGATGCTATCCCAGTGTTCAGCGGGAGTGAGTAATACGGTCATCAGTGCTAGGGCTCCTTCAATGCGCCGCACTTATGCAAGTAAGTGGAAGCAGTTTGTCTCTTGATGCGCAGACTGGGCTCTCAGTCCAATTGATTGCCCGATCAGTGTGGTGTTGGACTTCCTGCAGTATTTGTTGGATGCTGGACGCTCTCCAGCTACACTTAAAGTGTTTGTGGCTGCCCTGTCAGCCCACCGGGATCCTGTGGATCAGGTATCAATCGGTGCGAATAGACTAGTGGCGGCTTTTCTTAAAGGGGCTGTACGTCTGAAGCCACAAGTACGGGCAGTATGTACCCAGTGGGATTTATGGGTGGTATTGGACAGGTTGTGTTTAGCACCCTATGAGCCTGTTGAGCAAGCAGACATAAGGTGCCTCTCTATGAAGACAGCGTTTCTGTTGGCCATAACGTCAGTCAGAATAGTCAGCGAGTTGCATGCATTGTCGGTGAGTTCGCAGTGTCTCAGGTGGGGACCAGGGGATAGTCAAGTTACACTCTGGACGAATCCAGCCTTTCAGCCCAAGGTATTGTCACCTCAGTTCACAAATCAACCTATTCAGCTGGCAGCGTTCATGCAGGAGGGAAGGGGCAGCCCTATTTCCAGTCCGTATGTTGAAGCAGTATGTATTGAGGACTGCCTCATGGCATGTCACGGACCAGCTTTTTGTCTGTTTTGGACCCGGCAAGAAATGTGCACCTTTGTTGAAACAAAGGCTCGCTCACTGGGTGGCGGACTCTATTGTTGAAGCATATCGTGCAACAGGCCGTGTATTGCCTGCAACTGTTAAATGTCATTCCACTCAGGCAGTGGCCACTTCTTATGCAGCATTACGTGGTGTGCCTCTTTCGGAGATATGTGTGGCAGCTACATGGGCATCACCTTGCACATTCACAAGGTTTATCTTATGACTTAACGTGGCCCCTTCTCCCTTGATCAGTTTTGCCATACAGTGGGTACGGAAAGTATTCAGACCCCCTTAAATTTTTCACTCTTTGTTATATTGCAGCCATTTGCTAAAATCATTTAAGTTAATTTTTTTTCCTCATTAATGTACACACAGCACCCCATATTGACAGAAAAACACAGAATTGTTGACATTTATGCAGATTTATTAAAAAAGAAAAACTGAAATAACACATGGTCCTAAGTATTCAGACCCTTTGCTCAGTATTTAGTAGATTACATTAATGAGGAAAAATTACTTAAATGATTTTAGCAAATGGCTGCAATATAACAAAGAGTGAAAAATTTAAAGGGGTCTGAATACTTTCCGTACCCACTGTACTTACAGAAGATGCTTGAGCTTATATCCTCATGACTTGGCTGTATTCGTCTTCCATGTATTGACCGTCTCTGGCGGTCTGAAACAGTGAAATAGAATGCTGGTTACTGGAGTAACCGTGGTTCTATGAATGGTGGAAGACCGCCAGAGTCTCTGGTGATTGAGAATGACTATGAGACCGACCGTGATGTAGTCAGGAGCTGATATAGCTTCCGGCAGGTCATCGGTCAAAGTCACGTGTGACTGATTAATATGAGATTCTCGATGTGATGTGCGAGACACGACTCCTTCCACCATGTATTGACCGTCTCTGGTGGTCTTCCACCATTCATAGAACCACGGTTACTCCAATAACCAGCGTTTTACTGCATTTAGCAGGTTATTTTGGTGTGATTGCGTATCTGATGGAGGATACTCACTGTAAGTACTCAGCAGGCTCTCAAACTGGGCCACCAGCCCGACGGCATGCAGCTGTCTGAGAAAGCCCTTATCCTCCAAACCTGCGTATAATCGCATGACAAATCCACATGCCAGCGCAGCCAGCTGCAGATACACAACACACATATCTTCACAAATGCCTTGTCACAATAATAAATGTGAAGCATAAACAAACAACTTGATGAATTATATCAATGCTTAGAGATTGATTTAAACACAGTTTGGAATAGTTTTTCATCAAAGTGAAAACACATTTTTTCAAAACACACTTCACTAAACTGAAGGCCAGATAGTTTGTGTCTGGTCACTCACTGCTTGGCTGAAGACAGCATCCCGTCTCTGCTGCAGCTGCAGGCCCTGGGCCGTGCTGCACACCGCCTCCTGGAGCAGGACGAAGCTCATTGAGCGCCTCGCTCTCTCCGCTACATCTGCCACACACTCCTTCAATGACTGAACCAGGATGCCAAGCTGATCCCACCAAACCGCAGCTGTCACGGGAGGATCTGGGGGAAAATATGACAATTGTGATGCAGCTTTCCAGTAATGTGTTTTCCAGACCATTCAGAGTGACCTGGTTTCTACTAGTACACAGATGGTTAGTATTAATGAGAATGAAACTGGATATTTGAGATTGCGAAATAGCTATTAAGCTATTGATTTGATTTGCTTGTGGTTTGTTTAAAGCACTTGTCTTGAAAAGGAGGTTGCTAACAAGCATTTAAATTAGAGGTTGTTGGTGATATTAAACATAATCATGCCAAACAGGCAAAATAATTTACTCCCTTTAACAGCCTAATTGTGTTTATTCACACACTTACAAACTATTCTAACTCAAACTTTCAGGGAAAGTTTGTAAATGAAGTCTGAAAGCATTGTTGAAGCTTAATGGGTAGTGATGTTGAAGTCATGTGATCGTGGTTTAGTTTGTTTTAAGCCGACTGTATTTAGGGTTCAAAGTTTATAAAAGTTGTGAACAAAACGTGTAAATATCATATACTTGTTGGCCACAGTGCATATTTCCTGCAATAACTCAAAAACCAATGGAAAAATCCTGTTGGATATTGGAAGCAGGGTGATGCAACTTTCAGGATTAGCCTATAAAAATACATCATCACTGCAGTGCTCTATTGGCTAGAGAAATGAACAGTTTTGGTTATGACAGCACTGTAAAATAATTAGCAGTCATTGAACCTGAAGTAAATGTAGTAGTAATTTATTTATTCTTTGTGCACTTTTGTTCATGTTTTTTGAGGACGACAGCATTATACAACTGGTCTATGTTGACATTTATCTAATCTGACTCGCTTGCTTCAAGTGACAGATGAAAAAAAAAATCCATGGGAAGTATTTCCATTTTCTTTTAATGACAGTTAATAAGCCTGTTTATTTATGGATGCATGACTACATTGCAACTAGCACTGTGTGATTTACACTGCTGGGTAAGGGAAAGGATTTAATGGAATAAAGAAGTTATAAAAGTTTTATAATCTACAATTAATAAAGTTTTATAATCTACTATTACAATAATGGCACAGTTAGTTTATGAGTGCTGTATGCAGGAATTAAAAACTACATCTCTTTCCAACATGTATAAAGCAGCCCACCCGCTGGTAAGATTACAATGCAATTAAAGTGCTCTGAGAAGATAGCGGATTAAGCTTTAGAATAAACTGTGTTTGATGCTTGAGGCATGCACGGGTCTGTTTGTTATCTAAATGACAGACTAAGACAACTACAACTCTTATCAAAAGTTCCAAAAACTGGGAGACAGAATTAGATCAAACTTAGCAGATATGATCTTTGGGACACTAGAGACTAAGTCTTGGCTTCCTTGTCTAAACATGGTATGAACATCCATGTTTTTGCTCCATCGATGAAAATAGCTCCAAATAAAACCACAGAGTGTCCAAGCAATACACAGTAGTGGTGTCTCATTAATTAATCAGTGTTTATGAACAGGTTTCTTGAAAAAAAAAACATTCAATGACTCACTCATCTAAAGACAGTCACATGCTTTGTTTCTGAATGAATTACATTTTTTTAAACAAACTGGTTGAACAAATGATTCAATGACTCGTTCGTAAAGACAGTCACATGCTTGCTCTGGAATAAATCAACATTTTGAAAAAGTTGGATTAACAAACGATTCAATGACATAAACACAGTCACATGCTTTGCTACTTGAATGAATGAATCATTTTTGAAAGAATTGCTTGAATAAATGATTCAATGACTCACTCATTAAGACAGTCACTTGCTTCGTTCCTCAACATTTTTAAATGAATTGATTGAACAAACAATTCAATTTCCCCTTTTAAAGACAGTCACTTAATTTGCTGCTGAATGAGTTAATGTTTGTGACTGAATCGGTTGAACAAATGATACAATGACTCACTCATAACAGCAGCCACTTGTCTCATTCCTGACTTAATCAGTGCTTTTGAACGAATAACTTGAATGACAAATTCAATGAGTCACTCTTAAAGACAGCCACTTCATTCCAGAATACATTTCTGTTAAACAAATTGGTTGAAAAATGATACAGCAACTCACTCATAAAAACAGTCACTTGCTTCATTTCTGACCGAATCAAAGTTTTTGTATGAATCAATTGAACGAATGATTCAATGACCAACTCTAACAAATAATTCAGTAACTCTCTCATAAAAACAGTCACTTAATTTGTTGCTGAATGAGGTAATGCTTGTGAACAAACCGGTTGAACAAATAATTAAATAATTCACTCGTAAAAGCAGCCACTTCATTCCTAAATTAATGAGAGTGTTTAAACTAACCAGTTGAATTAATAATTTATTTGTAATATTTTTTATGACATTTTTTTAAATTTTCACCTTTTTACCACATCACTAATCACAGAAACCATTGTTTATTTATATAAATGTACATTATATGTATAATTTTAATAATCACTGCAAAAACATGTTAACATGTTCAGGCACCTTCCATTTTCTTCATAAAAATCGATTCTAAATGTCAAACACAGCTGCCCTGTTGAAATTTCACATGCCCTAGCTTGATATTCTTGCAATTTGTCATTCAGCTCTGTGATTTGCAATAAATCATTTGTTTTAGAAAAAAAGTGCATGAGAAAAGAACTTCAATCTTTAATCTACGAACTAGATCTGCCTTACTCCTTTCATGAGCATCTGTTTTGCAACAAGCCCTGCGTTTGAATTTGTTTTGCATTAGTCATCAGATTTTTGGCAGTATTATCCTTGCTTTGCATTGAGTGGTTTTTTCAATGACCCCATTTCACAAGAACATTCATTGAAAGAGTCACGTTCAATAGTTTGGTTCCCTCCCAGGGTGTATTCACACCCATGATCGGAATAGCTGTCTTTATTAAATTCCTTACTTTTTATGTGCATGACACGAGACATCAACCTAAAAACCGGTCCGACATCATTTCATCAAGCCTTTGAATGACAGCTGATTTCATGTGTTATGTGAAGTATTTGCACAGACACAATAACGTTTTATACAATACATTGCATATAATGTTGACATTGTCACACAAAATGTAAATACTGCTGGCAATGATCGTGCAAAGATGCAATCTTCTGTAAGGAGAAAATATTAGCACACATTTGCATTCTTGTTAACAAACGATTCAGTACTTTTGCTACATTTAAACTATGAAACTGCTGCAATAAAAATATATTATGAAAACCACACCACATTTCTGAAATCAATCATAAATAATTAATGACCAATTGCTTTAACATGACAGGAAGGCTTAGCCTGCTTGCTTTGAATTCCAACTTTACGCAAAATGTGAATTTGGAGAACTGTCAGAAATGAAATGTAATATGAGCTCAGCATAAAAAAAGCATAATTGCCCTTCAGTAAATTCTTTATATTGTAGATTGCAACAGGCAGAACCGCAACATGTAGTTTCAGATAATGTCCCAGTGATGGCAGCATTGGCTGCATTAAAAACTCTCAGGTTTTGCACTCTTGCACTGCTTGTCATTGGCTGCACAGTTTTTCTTTTACTTTAATAGCACTGAGTGTCAGAAGTTTCCTTTAACTATTCCTGTCTGACAGAAGATCTGTGGATGGTGCTAATATTCATCTCTCAACTGACAGATCTGACAAGTGCTAAAAAAAGAAATGCTGTGGGTTGTTATTAAAGCATGAAAAAAAAAGTACAACCAGTGAAAAATTCTCACAGAAAACGTCTCGAGTGAAGTGGAAAATCCGCCATTAGAAGCTTTTCTAGGATGCATGAAGTTGGCAACTCGTCTGAAATATTATTATTAAAATTATGAAGAAAACTTAAACCTTTATGTATAATGCATTATACAGGTATTCAAAAAGTATGTTGTAACGCAATATATATATTCATAAATAAAATTAAAATGCATTATTACATTTTTAGATTCCTTGCTACATCTGAAACAGATTCTAAAATGCATGTGTTTTAATGCATTTTTTTTAAGGTGTAGCAATTAATATATAAGCATTAAAATGCATTATAACTCTGATTACCATTATCAGTGGGATCAAACAATGCATTGTAAGGTGCATTACAAGGCATAATTAATGCATTCAAATACTTTTAATAATCCATTGTATATAAAGGCTTCAAATAAAGTGTTACCCAAAATTCAAATGCAATTTCAAATCCTCATAATGGGGAGCATTAAGTGTAACAAGAATATTTAATTTTCGTAATTAATCCAGGGCAACGGCATAATTAATTCAGTCAAAAGCATGACAATGAAATGATACTGACACTTGTTTTTCCATTTTTCATAGTCTATGCCTCACCATAAAAGGAAATGAATTCACCTTTAGGCAGTTAATTGATCATCCAAGCAGCCGTTTGGCATATTTGACGTATTATTTTAGCGTTTAAGTATTTGCTGGTTCATAGCAGCTGCGGTCTTGAGTTGTAATTGATCATTTGAGCGTTTGTATCCAGTGTAGTTTGTCGTACCGGGACTGTGTGAGGTGATGACGTCTGCCAGCGGGTGGCTGGGCGCTGATTCCTGGTTGTTGTTGTCTTGCTCCTGTAGTTTATCCACCAGGGCGATGACGCAGTTCAAACTCTTCGCCACACTGGCCCAGACCCTGTCCTAGAAGAGCCAAAGCAAACGTTAACGGACCGACACTTACAGCACAGAGACCTGACACGTAAACATTTTGAGTTTATTTGCTAGCCAGACCAGTGTGATCCTAGCATACTCGTATGTATTTTATATACTGTATGTTTCATCCACATGGAAAATGTTACAGAGAAACATATGAATAGAAATACAGTACAAACTCAAACACACACATGTATGTACTGTAAACATGTTAATATTTAACAGATTAGCTTCGAATGATCATTTGATTTATTTTAGGGTTCATTTAGATTCTTAAGCTGTGTTTTTTAGCTAAGTTCAGTTTTCTAGTTAATTTCGTTTCTGAAGCTGTGCTCGACTCCTTTCCAGAAGTTTCTTCAACAACCAAAAGATGACATGTTTCCGTCTGCCTGTTTTTGGCTTCTTATTACAGAAACGTCCTATCTTAAAACTTAAATTAAGATCTAGACAAGTTCAACAGAATGTATATAGTTCCTAATTGAAATTCGGCATGGTTACTAAGTCAGGATGTTTCTGTAATATGGCTCCTGATCTCATTAAAACCACTGCAAAAGCTGCGCACACACACACACACACACACACACACACACACACACACACACACACACACACACACACACACACAAGCGCACCGCAGAA